ATAATTGCATTTAGTTCAATTAACTAGACTTTATTTTTTTGATTCTTTGACTGCATCTTAAATACTCATTGACTTTTGTTGTTATTGTTACTTGTTGGCTTTTTAAATATTAAACAAATTGAGCGAAATTAAAAACGAAACTAGACATTTTTATATAAGGGCAAGCGGCCACAAGTCTTGGGAGTCGTTGGAATAGTGCTACGTGTGACTCGCGCTATAGTGGGCCTACCAGCTTGAGATTGGGATATACCTCACGCTATAATGTGGTAGATCTCGCGCTATAGTTTCAGCTTGAGGTAAATCTCGCTATAAATTAGCTTTATATTTGAAGTTTTAATGATTTGATCAATCAAGATAGCAGTTATTTAAACATTTATAAAAGCGAAAAGCTCATGACACCCGGTATTCCCAGCCGGTCATCCATGCCCGAGTCCAACGTTGCTCAACTTTTGAGATCGGGTGTATTCAACGTGGTATGGTCCTACTCGACTATTTAAGTGTGGTTTGATACAAAAAAGACGCGAAGCTGAACCTTATTGATTGTAGCACCACAGAGAACGAAACCCAAGCGATACGAAAGCAGTCGATGCTTCGTTCGGTCGCTAAAATTTTGTAATTAATTACAAGCAGTAATGTCGTGATTATTACCTCTTAGAAATTTTAACTCTTATATCTGGCTGTGTGCATGGTTATTTGCCGCCAAATTTTACAGTATCTGCAATCTGACAAAAACGGGTGGCTACATGTACAGGACCTGTATTGGCCCAATTGTGCGGTACATACCCTTCGAATATAATATATAACAGCAACCAGAATTGCTACATCATCAACATAGTGGTATATCGAAATTATACTGTATAAGTAAAATTTTAGTAATGAACAAGACCAAAGTACGGCACAGCGACGATATGTACAATAGTCGGTACCGTTTGAATGACCGCATTGGAGTTCGTTTGTATTGGAATTCAAAAAAGATTGTTTGTCGGCAAGTGCTATTAATTTGCACATACAGTCTTGGCTCTTTAAGATTAAATAAAGCAGAATCCGTGTTACCGGCAAATTACATCTACCGGCAAATTACAGGAATCGGCTTTACTACGGAGTTCAATGAGAAATGTATCAAAATTATCTTTGTACTGTATATTGAAAAAGCGAAAAGTCTCCATCACCTCATTCTTCCGAGGATTACAGTGTTCAGCCATTTTCTGTAGTAGAACTTTAGGGTCATTTTCGTCCTCTGTATCACTGTATACAAAGTGTTCGGCAGCTTCAATCATTTGAGCACCTGCGCAATATAAGATTATTGCCTTCTGTTCTTCCTTTGACTTGCTAGTAGAACCGCTGGCTAGCATGAAAATATCATTAAATGTTTCTGATAAATTTTCATCATGCAGATCAAGAGTCGACGGTAAGCGAATTTCAGATACCGCTGCCACCATGTTAATAATGTCTTGGTTATATGTTAAGTTCTACACCCAAGCTATTATAGAATAAGGGTTCAACTGAATACGCTTACACTTCTTTATTACACCAGCATAACACACAACATAAGATGTCTACAGCAACAGAACATACTAGCGAGTGACGCAACTGCGACACGTTAGCACAAGACAGATAGCACAATCAATTATTAGGGACGTTACTCGACAAGGCATTATTGGCCATCATCAACAACACCGGTTGTGTTTATTTATTTTCGTAAAGAGTTAATGTTTTGGGGGAACATTGTTAACTTTAACGTCATAAACCGAAATAATGATAAATTGCTTCAATCACTTACAGTATAACCGGACCTGTTAGGGATATATCCTAGAAATTTCATACCCCCCCATCTCTTCAAAATTGCCGAGGTGTACGCATGCAATAGTCGAATTAGCTTTTACTCCCTGGTATGAATACAAAAATTCCTATCTTGGTTGTTTATACATTGCTACTTGGCCATATCTGTTTCCGTTAACGCAAACGAATTATTGTTAAAGAAATCCATTCTCACTAAACTATACCTCTCAAAACAATGCTTTCGTAATAATACTTTTTTGCAAAAATCCAATTTAAAAAATCGCACTTTTACAAAAAGTCGCCTTGGCGTAAAGATTTCACCTTTTTATACAAAAAAAATTTGCTCAAGGCAAGGTAACGCGTTCCCAACCAGCAGAAGCCGATATGTTAGCAAAGTCACGACCTACTACGACTAAACCATGGCGAATTATAACGACGGTGTTTACACGATAGGGACCGGTAAACCCGAAAATTTATTTTCATGCGGTTTCTCAGATGAAGATGCCGTTATTCACCGTTTCGGCGCATTGTGCTATAGGTAAGCGTTGGGATACGCTCGCACCCGCACCGTACCGTGGGTTCGAATGAGGGGATAGTTTTGTGCGAGAGGATTGCCGCACTACGCCGCGCAGGGTGGTTCAGATAACCGCTGGTCGGTTGGGGCATCCTCCATCAAAGTTCATGCATATGAAAAAAAACGGTTCCATTACATTTGAACCCACGTACATTTGAACCACGTACATCTGAACCCACGACAATTGCACCTGCATACTATTGCCCCTATGGAATTTTGTTTTTGTTTTACGGATATTTGAACCCATACTAACCCTGACCCATGGGTTTTAGCACCCACATATAGATTAAACCCGCGGACATACACATGGGTTCAAATGTACGGTCACCGAAAAAAAACAAATAACTGGCAAACTAATCCAATGCCCTGCATGAGTCGTTAACTGTACGAGATGTCGTGGTTGGTTATATGTTTAAGCCGACTTGCCTCTCCATCGTAATTAAATTAAGGATAAATATCAATCCTATTTTTTTCGCTAACCCAATCGTTTCCGAGATTTATTCATTTTTTCGAAACCTGTTCATTTCTCCGAAACCTCTCCGACGAAGCTCGGATTTGGGGGACAAGCACAAAGTAATGACTCATGCATTCACAACTGCCAAAGGTCGGATTCATGACATCACAAACATCTTGGGATTCCCGCCTATTTCAAAAAAATTGGCGGCCAGCCCCGCTGCGTCGTTTTCAAGGGTTTTATTTATCTGTTAGTTACAAATTTTCGCTGGGATGTAATAGGCCAAGTTTCGTTTCTGTACGTGGTAAATTAATGGTAACAGCAGTCACTTGCGACCACAGACGCATACTGACAATTTTTTGTAACCTTGGGTATGGTACTGTATTGACATCACCCGGATAACCTAACACACAGAACTATTACTTACGGTACCGTATGTTTGTCTCAAGTCGGGACCTCTAATTATGGTACCGGTACCGTACGCCGTCCTCCGTTATCGAGTCCACGTCGGACATGGGACTTCAGCCAGACAAGACAGTGTTTGCCATATAATTGAGAAGTCCTACCACCTTGCCTGGATAGGATTTACATATTTATCCCGGGGGAGAGGAAAGCCGATAAGACGGCTTATTCATATGGCGAACCACGGCCTCTCGTCTGGTTAGCATTCCAAGTCGGGTATGGGATTAGTTTTACTGTATTGTTTGTTTTTCGGGAGCATGGACTTGGTGGTGAAGGAAGCCGTAACCGACCACCGGTTACGTGAACCACTTAACGACGGCGAGGAGTCCAGCAATCCTCTTGCACATAACCATCCCTGCATGGGATTCGAACCTGCGAACCCACGCAGAGTAATTAGAGGTGCGGTGGCGAGCGTATTCCTAACGCTTAGCCCGTTGAGCCACACCGCCGCGCCTGTGATGAATATGAAATCTGTTCCTATGCCAGAGTCAAATAAAATTCTGAGATTAATAGTAAATAAAACCTGCTTCTTTTCAGAAATAAATACCGGGTTCATTGATTGTGCTGATAAATTGACAACATTGGGTGCCATATTCTTTAGGCTACCATTCTACCAGACTTTTAGGCTTGGAATAGATTTTCAACCGAAAAGACTCATAAAATGTGGACATTGCGTGGTGAAGTTATGGAAAACACACATTCATGGTGATGGCACGGATTTTCCAGCCACTAAGTTAATCAGACCGAAAATGTGGACAGGCACCAAGTTACCGGTGTAGCCTAAATTACTCGTATACAGCGAGCCACTACTAGAGCACATTTGATATAAAATCATAGATATTTGGGATTATTTTATCATGAACAATTTACTGGACTTTACGTGGTAAAGAAGCGCCAGAGGCCGGTGAGTAAATTTTATGTTCAAAACAACTTGAGAATCTGATTATTCCATACATTACATAGCTGAGGTAATTTGCATTTCAATCCCTGAACCAAGATGTCGGACACTGGAGTGTAGCATGTGTACCAGGTTGGGGAATAATTTCATACCGATTTTCCTTAGTTAGTTAGAGGACTGGCCGAGTGACTCCGTACGGGTAGTGTTTGTACTTCAAATTATGGCCTAACAATGACCTGGTACACATACCACGTCCCAGTGGCCACCATCTTGGTTCACATACTTCCGGAGTACCAAACTTTGAACTCTAAGAAATTATATTTCGGGGTAGACATATTTATGGTTATGACATTTTATTTATTTGAAAATGCAACTCTGAATTCGCAACTAATTCCCTCGCAGTAATTTTGGGGATAGCTAGGGGAAATGTCTCCTGACAATAAGCCAGGTGTTTGCTATGGTTAAGCCTCTATTGGCTTTATTGTTATTCTGGCTAATTTAGTCAAAAATACAACCCCAAAATTTCAGTAGTCCAGGAAAATCAAACAACCAAGAACAAACAAATTGCAGAACTTGATATTGATTAAAGCAAGATCAATTATTTAAGCAACACTAATCGAAGGATTGAAAGTACAAAATTGCATAAAATATGGTAATATGAATAGATTAAGAACACATAACAGTGAATTAAATTTGCTAACATGTTATTGAAGAATGAGAATGGTAATATAAATGAAGTACATACAACGGTGCTCCAGAAGTAGATGTCGCACAACCTAAACCCTAACCCAGTACACATACTCCTGAAGCTCTCAAACCACAGTTATTCAAATGTTCAGCTCTGACAACTGGGACATGGGATTGAAAGTACAAAATTGCATAAAATATGGTAATATGAATAGATTAAGAAAGAACACATAACAGTGAATTAAATTTGCTAACATGTTATTGAAGAATGAGAATGGTAATATAAATGAAGTACATACAACGGTGCTCCAGAAGTATGTGCACCAAGATGTCGCACAACCTAAACCCTAACCCAGTACACATACTCCTGAAGCTCTCAAACCACAGTTATTCAAATGTTCAGCTCTGACAACTGGAGAATAATAAAACATCAAAAATATTAACAAGGAATGAGAATTATGAAATTTAAAATCAATTAATAAAACAGTGATTGGCATGTAGTAATTTTTGCAGCAGTATTTGACATAATTGCATTAGTGACATTATTGACAGTGGGTGATATGACCTAGGTTATAGTTTTAAAATGAACTACTGGTATGTTGGCAGGGAATGTCATTAAAGTCATCCTTACACCCTAGTTGGACAACGGACTGGAAGAATTCCATCTTCTATCACTATTAAGTAAAGCAGCTCCTAACATAGCATAGTGGCTGCTTCTCGAGGACCTTGCTCGGTTTGAATGGGCATTTAATTTTAAAAGCACGAGTTATGTAAAAATGAATAAAGTTGAAATAAGCCCCAAACATATACAGGACTCCGGTATGAGGTAATAGAGAAACGTTGCTCAGTCACATATGCAGGAAATACGAAAACCCATATGTTAAAATATAGTTATGACCTCAATTGTGAGCATAGTCGATAAATTCGAAAGTTAACATTTTTGATATTAGTGGTTTTAGAACATTCATGTAACAGATAAATCGAGCAAACGTACCTCATTATATTGATAAGTGGCCTACCATTTGCTCAAGCGACATGGTAAGTTTACGGTTAAAACTTATCTACAATTATGGGGACGCATCATATCAAAGTCAAAATGGTAGTCTACCCACTTTCGTATTGCTTTCCCATTTCAGTACACCCTGACATGGGACACAGAATCAAGTCTTATTTATGCCACAACCACTAGCACATCATTCCCACAACTTATAGGCAAATATACTGCCTCTGTCTCATCATCCTTTCTATGTGGATTGATAGCCTGTGGTATTACTAGTCCAAAACTAAAGGCCTTTCTGAAAAGGATGAATGTAAATAATGAATATCCAGTCAAAATGTTGTTAACATCGTCAACTAAAAACTACATAGTACTGCGGGTCACTCGAGATGCATCAAACTGGAGTTCCCTGACTGGAATCTACTGGTGTTGAAGTCGTGGCCATCTGTACGGAACTTTGGTTATGGATGCTGGTTGTTGCATTTCCAGCACTGATCACATTGGCGGCAATATTGTACACATTGGTCTGTTTGGCTGTAAAAAGAATAAAACATCTTCATTATGCTTCTAATGGAGAGATGCAGTAAAATATAGCCTATTTTTATATAATAGAACTCGGTCTAGTCCAACACATGAAAAATAAAAAAAATAAAAGTGGCAAAATTTTTCTTTTTCAATATTAGCTTTTATAATATGCACAAATTTGCATTTTAACATGATTCACATAGTCTTGATAAATGTTCATTAAAACTTTTAATGAGTGGTGTGTCGGTTTGGATCTTTCTCATTAGACCATGACGTGATGGCAAGGCCTGTGAAAGCTATGCGTTACGGGTCATGTCACCACCTCACACATGTTGCGACAAATTGCACAGGCAATGCAAACCCATTCGGTCTTTCCAACAAACAGTATCTCCTCAAACAGATATAAGTGGATGCTCATATAAATAATGTCTTACCTTCCGGAACTGGTACATCGAGAATAGGCCACATAGTCGTCAGGGGTATCACCTCTTCAGTGTTGTCTATCTTTAAGGAATATTTTATGTCAATGATTCCAGCTTGTTGTGGCCTTGGTTCCATCCAGAAATATACTTCATGACGAAGATTATCTAGAATTTCTTTTGTGACTCTGAATGATGTATCGTTATTGAAAACATCTGTTTCTCGCGGTTCTTTACAATTGAGATTGATTTTTATTTCCGATCCAACTTTTGCTGTGAATTTCTTTCCGATTGGTATGAGCTGTACAAAATTCTTTTTTGCTAGAATTTGTGGCACTTCATTCTGGGTTTTGACATCACAAAGAAAAACTGAAACAATGGTAGCGGTATCTTTTTGTATGTAGACATCATTGAGAAGATGGTACTTTCCATCTCCCGCATTGTCTTCAGCTATCGCGACTACATCATCTGAGAAATGGTTGACTTCAAATTCGACTATGTTACGATCACGCAAAGTCATGTGCTGCATTATCTTCCAATCTGTGCTTTCATCCTCTCTGCTGAATATCATTGCAGGAATCTCCTGATTCTCCAATGTGCTGTACCATGTTCTCATGGAGGCTTTTACAGGTTTGTTAAACTGAATTGATGGTCTACAACCAAGAATGGGGGAGATTGGCATAACATCTTTTGGAAAGCTTTCTGGATTGTTGCTTAAGAACATTCGAATTTCTGTCTCCTTTTCTAGTGCTCCCTCTGGAATAGTGATGACACATCCAAAAAGTTCAACCTTTCCTCCCATTTTGTCTATTTTGATGATGTTAGATGCATTCACATGTGACTGAATAGAGAACTCTTGGTTGACTTCTTCTGCAAAAGCGTTCATGTCAAACTTTCCATTCCCCTTATGTGCGGGAGCGTTCATGTCAATAGTCGTGGTCTCGACAGCCATAATGTTTCGTTCCTCATTTTTAGCCAATGCGCCAGTCATGACAAAGTCAAAGTCTGGCATTTGAAGCATTTCTTTATTGTGAACTGATGTGCCTCCTTGAACCTTTGATTCTTTGGCTTTGATGGTGTCATGCATAGAAGCTCTTTTTCCAATATCCGGTGTTTCTTTACCATCTGAAATGCTTGGGGATGAATCATCTGTATCTGCGAACATAAAAAATATGTTTGTGTAAATAATAGGGCACAATATAATTTCCAGAATCATTTTTATATCAATCCGATACTTTGAAATCAGCGACACCGCTATTTTCAGAGAACATCTTCAAGATATTGATGACAGACTTATTTGAGTACCTTCTGGCAAATAGAACAAACTGGGCGACCTGAAGTTCTACGCTTTACCAGATCTATGTAATTATGATACTTCTAAGCCAGATAAATCTTATGGCCATATTTTTTTTTCACTATAATTGGTTGTCATGGATTTATAGTAAAGTTATATTCTGAGATTAAATTGAAATTACATCCTATCAGAGATGTCCAGATTCGAAACAAACAAAATATTTTAACATATTCAAAATTACATTTTTCATTAGTAGAACATAATTATTTCTCATAATAAGCTACTAATAAAATTATTAAGCCTACAAAGGAACAACTAAGCCAATGATATTTGATATTTCTCTTATGCAGTATCAATGGTTTTATAAACATCCACTAAATTCAGATAATTACATAGATCCCACTATTTTGGTTTGGTCACTACATGTGTAATTTAAAGGTGAAGATCTATTTATGTTCTGGAGACTCGTACCTGATAATAATCTCTGCGCCAAAATGCGCTTCCTAGGGCGAAATTTGAACCTGAAAAACTGGCTTGTTGATATCATGTGGTCAGCTTTTCGCAATATAGCACCTGAAAAAAGTTTTGTTTTGAAAAGCATGTTTAAAATAATTATACAAATATTTAGAGTCTGGCTTGCCAGTTGGCTAATCGAGATAATTCATTCGCCTTGGTTCACAGGTGGTTCGAATCCCATTTATGCTAACACTGTATCATTGCCGGTATCTATATTGATAGCCAACCTAGGTGAGAAACCGGACAAAGAAACATAAGATCATAAATTGGAAACTGATATATCTAAGTCAATTTTCAATATTGTAAAAATGTGCATGTAATATAGTGTTCAGGTCTGATTTGACAAATTTTCAAGATGATGGAAATAGTTTCTATGGCCTGTTCTATAGATGGTCTCTTTTAATTTAAAATGTTAACTAACTTGTCTCATTATCAAGCTTCTTTGAAAGCATCTGGACCAGATCATCATCAGTTTCATTCTTTTTCAACCAATCCAAACAGCTCTCTCCATTTGTCTCATCAAGGCTTTGAACAGCAGCCTTTGCTGCAATGGGAGAAATGCCTTGATGTATGACCAACTGCTTAGCCATTTCCATTTTTCTGAAGTTTGCATGAGCTGAAAGACAAATGATCAAAATTGAAGCAGAAGTAACAAATCATTCTAGATTTCTGCTTGTACTAAAAAAAATAGATCCTAGCTATAGTTATTATAAACAACAGATTCACATTGAGTTTATTAACATTCATTATTTTACAAATTTCATTCTCTGTATACCTGCTTTACTAGCTTCTGACATTTGCTCAATTATTGATTGATTTCCACGATTCCTCTCAATCCATTCATTGCAGTGTGAAATGTCTGTTGATGAAGTTGCTTCCACAGCTGCTGCAGCAAGGTCAAGGCTAATTGATCTTAATAATATCAGTTCAATTGAGGTCATTTTTTCCAACATTCGTCCTGTGCGAAAATGCAAACAAAGTCATAATTCACAAAGAACAGAAAGCCTAACTAGAATATTTGTATTTGTAACGAGGATTTTAATTATAGGTAATATTAACATTCACTGAAAGTGGGCCCCGTGGGCTCGCATGTTCAAATCCTGTAGAACAGGGGTCTCAAACTCAATTTACCTAGGGGCAACTGTAGGCAGAGTCTGGGTGGGTATGGGCCACATCAGGTTTTCCACAATAAAAGCTTAGATTGAAAAAATTCAAATCTTCTCAAATTTCTTTATTTTTTTAAACACAAAACAAGTTGAAAACAAATGAACAAATTGAGACCAAATATGAATTATTAATTAGTGGTTGTGACGTCAAAAATCCGAAAACTCATAACTTATATTAAATGTATTAATCATTCATCATGTGAACTGAGCTAAGTAACACACCGAAATTAAACTTTCATTCTAAGGTGGGGGCCACCTGGGCCGCGAGATTGAGACCCCTGCTGTAGAAAAATAATTATGTGCGAAAAAGATGCTGGACTCTTCACGACCACAGGTGGATAACATAGCGTAGTCCATGCATTTGAATCAAATAAATGTCTAACATATTTCATAGCATACATAAACTGGCAATCGGACGAGGGGTCGTGGTATGCAATATGAATATGCCATCTAACCAATTTCCTCTCCCCAGAGGGATAAATGTGAAATCCTACAGTATCATCAGCCTAATCAATTCCAAGCTAGATGAACCAACAACCAAAATTCATATAAAACAAGAGCAAAACTCACCAATTCTTAATATGAATGTATCATGTAAGATATCAAAGACATCTGGTTGGTTGTCTTTTTCAATCCATTCCATGCATTCTTCATAGAATTCAGACAAATCCTCATTTGGTCTCGTTTTATCATAAACCACTGCTTCAATCGGCGCTTCAGCATTTTGAATGTGGAAAACAAAGCGAAGTATCCCGTACAATTCACAAACTTGTTTGATTTCTGCAAAAAAAAATAGCATGTTTTGAGAGAAAACTGGCCCCACTGAAAAAAGTACGGTATTTGCTGGGAAGTTAGGCGGTGAGTGTGCCTTAGCCCTTGGGCACACGAAAATTTGCGCTTTTAGACTGTCGTGGGTCTCAACAAAACTTATATTGTTTACGGTTTTATTTTCAGTAATTTATACTGCCACTTTTCAATCAAAAATTTAGGTTTTACTACTTTATTTGTCTTAAGAATCTTGTCGCCCATGACCGTATAATAATCATGGCACAAATTTGTGATTTAGAGTGAATAAACACCAACGTGAAGGCGGTTATGGCCGAAATAACACGTCACGCTGACGAAAACATTCAGCAACTTTTTCAGTTTTCAAAAAAAATCAAAAGAGGGGTTTCAACCCCGAAAACCCCCCTGGCTGCGATACCGTTTGAACCAGGGGCGGACACCCGGGGGGGCGAGGGGGGGCGGTCGCCCCCCCAATAATTTCGCAAAAAAAAATTTAATACATGTTGGATCCGCCTTACAAAATTATCATTTCCGAAAAGTGCGATAGTCAAGCGCAATTAAACGGTTAATAGTTACCGATATTATAAATGTCTTTTTACAATAATTTGGACCAGATCGCCTTCGGAGCACCTCACAATTTTGTGAAACATGCGCGCCCGCACGGGTAATACTCCGTCTTCAAACGCACCGCCGATCACGCGCCACGATTTTGCACAACTAATTCATTTTTGTACAATTTAACATGATTTTCTCATTGTCCAAATCTTTCAATAGTGTTATTGTTGGCACTTGCGAGAGAAGTGAAAGAGGCAAACTGTGTTTCATTACAACAATTAATTATTATCGCTAAAAAATTAACTAGATCTAAAGTTGTTATAAACAATCTTCACCGCTGGACGTATCTTTTCACATTATGGATTTCGTGCAAGGCCCAGCATAATTTGCGGGCAAAGATCAAAGCATTTACTATGTCGAAAAGTTGAAAAGCGGAAATATAAAATACTAAAAATAAAACTGTAAACAATATAAGATTTGTTGAGGCCCGCGACAGTCTAAAAACGCTTTTCTAGGCATCGAAAATCGCAAAATTTCGCGTGCCTACGGCACAAGTTATGTTGGCTTGACCTTTAAAAACATTTCGTCACTAAAATCGAAACACGGTCAATTGTGAGCGGGATTTGCCTTTTCATCCATTACTTTTAAATTGACGTCGAAAATTTTCGTGTTAACATTAAACAAAGCTGAGAACGCGACTTTTCCCCGGTTTGTGATGATATATAACAGGGGTCGGGAACCCATGGCTCGCGAGCCATATATGGCTCTTTTGGTGACGGCATATGGCTCCCAGAAAAATCTAATATTCTAAGACTAAGCTTACTATTGTTACGAGATCCCAAACTCTTTTATAGCCGAATTTAGCAGGAAATTCCCAATACGTTTCAGAACACGCGCCCAGCACATTTCTATGTTATGTAATATATTTACTAGACAGGCATTGTGACAAACAAGGGGATTCTGGAACATATATTGTGACATCACAAAGCGATATAGTTTTAAAAACACTACGGAGTTGCCTAAACGAAAAAGGGTGATAAGTATCGTAGATTTCAACTTGGGCTGCATGTGAGCAACCGTTCAAGGCCCGCAGCGACTACATGCAGCATCAGAAATCACATTAAATGTATATTGACATTGTATGTGTTGACTTTTGAGTAAACATTTCAGGCCTGATTAAGTGAAGAAATGTTATATGGCTCGCACGGAAATGCAACTGAAAATATGTATATTTTTTGACTCTCTTGACCAAAAAGGTTCCCGACCCCTGTATAAGATAATTAAAGTATATTCGATCACTTTTTGTATTTATTTATGTATTTTTATTGTACTGAAATAACTTTTACTACGTGAGAACTGACAGAAAATTTACGGATTTTTCGAAAGGTTCTATCTTTGAAAATAATCGGAGTGACAACATTGCGATTGAGCGGAGCCAGTGTGACAAGTATATCTCAAATTTATCGAATGCGCAAAATAGCAAAAATACGGATCAAAACAATACATAAACGGGCAGTTTACCACACATTTTTATGTCCGCGGATTGCCGTCGTGTTTTAAAGTGGCTCTTGTTTTGTCGACTCAACCGCAGTTTAAATTGAAGACAATTAAATTAATAAATCAAGACATTTTGAATATGCCCGTATCGGTCTTCGATTGATTACTTTGCACAAGTGAAAAATCAGTTTTCGTTGATAAAGTCGGCTCTTTTAACAAGTGGCGTAATCGCGGCGACTGTTCCGCGTGGATTTCGAGGCGGTGAATTTGTATTTTTGATTTACTAGTATACTTTATAATTATTTTCATTGTATGAATTGAAATTGTACTATATGGGATTTTATATCAGATATCGAGATTTTTGTAACGGCGATAACGAGTTCGGAAGATTGCAAAAATACGTATCAAAATTAAATACATCAGGCAGCTTATCTCATATTTTTATGTCCACATATCGCCGTGGTACTTTAGTTTAGTAATATTTTTATTTTGACGTAAGAAGTCGCAACCGCGAGTTACGTTGCACACAAATAAATTAATATATAAGGACATTTTAGAATCTCGTGGCTGTCATGAATTGACAGAAAAATCATTATACGCTTAAATAGGCGGCTCTTTTAACGAGCGCGTAATCGCGGTGCTTGTTGCAGACGGCAATGGGAAGTTCCGACTTTGACCCCGCCTTTTTTTTAAATCCTGGCTGCGCGCCTGAACTTGTGCCTGTTTATTTTCGTATTAAATTATAAATAAAAACCCTGCAAAGTCATTGCGTGAATCCTGAATGTTATGTCGAGTTCAAATGATGATTTAATAAATCGGCAATTATGGCAATTCTACTAGTCAAATGATAATTCCTTGGTAAAATTTAGGAAAAAAATTCGCACAATAGCTTGTTACCTTGTTTTGCATTTCTAATTTTACGAAACGGCGTTAGTGCGCTTTATGCAGAACTAGGAATTGAAACAATAACCTAATACGACTCCTCAAATTTGTTATATTCTGTTTGTTAGCAAGAGCCGTGGGCTAATTCTCGCGGAATTCAAGAAATTGGTTCAGTGACGCGCAAGTTCCGTGTCCGAGCAAAAGCAGCCTAGGTAATCGATATATGAGTAACAAAATGACATGCTAATACTTAGAGAATGACATCGACAGGTTATTGTTACGTGACGATACACGGCGCGGTGTTTTTCGGTAGGCGATCCAAGTTCGCCCCCCCAAAATTATGGAAAGTGTCCGCCCCTGGTTTGAACCTATCTTGATTTGCGCCGTATAATGTCATTTTATGAGCGAAAATACATTGTGAGTGGTCCTGCACCCTGTGACAAATAAAAAGAACTATTCTTACCCTTATCTTTTGTTGACCACAGCTGAAGATCGTTTTGGTTTTCTATTGCCCAGTCCACACAGTTTTCAACATTACCACTGCCAATCAATTTTACAGCAAGTAGGGCTAAGTTTAGTTCAAATCTATACTTGCAATGGAGCTCTTCGACTGTGGTTGTGCCACCTGATGAAAATTGAACATAAATTCATAATGAGCCAATTGTGTACGCCAGTAACCGCTGGCGTACACCTTTATTTAACATATAGGCTCTCGAGTAGTTGCAGGCATAAAAATTTTGGTTATTGATCTCATGTCATGTGTTGTTCGCTTTGCACAAGCTAGCTGTTGAGGCATTGTAACGTCATAGATAATAAATTGGTTTTTCTTTGTGGGTTGCATCTGGCCCGCGAGCTGATTGCAAATATAACTTGATGAGAGATGATAATGCAACTCAGCATGTTTGTGCTAAACACAGTAATCCAATGGTTTGTTCAAGTACACAGCAGTGGTGGCTTGTTTTTTTTTGCTATACTTTTGTTTGCATGACAAACCATTGCACAAAAACACCTAGTCTTATGGCACAAATAAATGAATTATTTTGGCGTGGTGAACACCACCCCTGCACCAAATGACATTTACTGACATGTTTGTTGCAAAAATAAATGTCGACAACATAATGGTCATTTTTTCGACTCTCCCATCAGTAATTCTATAACCTTCACTACAGGACTCACAAACTTGTTTTAAAACCAATATCCATTGCGACTTTTTCTCACTGTGAAATATTAATTTTTGTTGCCTATCATTACCTGACTTTGTTGTAGCAGACGCTTCTGAAGCTTCTTTTACCTTCAGTTCCTCTGTAATCATGATGATATAATTGAAATAATAAAAGCTAATAAAAAGCTGTAAGCTATGAAACGCAAATTGGACTCTGATATCCTGGGCGGTCATAATAATAGTTAGTGGGCCAGAAAAGCAGAATCGCTAACTCTGGTAATTTACTTTTCTGAATACTCAGGACCTCCACTTTAAAAACATAAAATAGTCCCAGTAACACACTTGCGACAGATTTATAACATCAAGTTTTGTGACAGATTTTGTTCTAAGCACCAGGTATTGTTATTATAAAGATTTATTTAAAATCAATCATTTTTAAGAATAAAATTAGATATTTCAAACCTATATTTCATCCTTCTTTATGGAATTGCACGAATATAATCATATTTTTTGTCAGCACAAATACTGGTAGTGTGTTACCCTCCCAGTTTGCACTGAATATAGCACAAATATGTTCATGTACCGTAAGTAAACCTGAGAAGCCAAAACAGCTACTAATAAATATTGAGAAAAACCCTCGATAATAATCTTTTCAGTTGCAACACCTCACCTAACTTGTTACATATGAATTCTTGATAGTGAAGCACCTCAAAAGATATACCGTGTTTCCCCGAAAATAAGACCTACCCTGAAAATTGAACCTAGCCTGAATTTAAAAAATGATTTTATTATAAGCCCTCTCCTAAATATAAGACCTAGTATTTTACGCGAATCATTTTTTGACCTAGTAGATAGCAAGAAATCTCACCTGCGCGTAGTAAATGATTGATAATCTATGTTTTGCAGTTATTTTGACTAAAAACGTGTTATTTATAAGTAAATAGATATCGGCTTTCATATTTTGTATATTTTAAAATCTTGTAATTCTTAACTTTATAATTTTGTTTTTGATAAATGAAAATATGAGACATCCCCCGAAAATAAGCCCTAGTGTTATTTTTCGGAAGAAAATTTAAAAAAGACCCAGTCTTATTTTCGGGGAAATACGGTAAGGATAGTAGAAACAGATGGTATTGGCTACTAGCAATATGTTCAGTATGCTCACCTAATGCATTGTCATACTCTTTTGCTAATTGTACTGATTCTAACTCTTGAATGACACGAACTTCTTGTTGGCATGATCTGTAGTTGCTACAACCTTTTTTTTGTACAGCTGCCTTTGCTTGTTCCAAACCCACGTACTTAAAGATATTGGTGAGTCTATGCACTATCCATTCCATCATCTCCAATTGCGACAATTTGCCTGAAAAAGAAAAATGAATTGATACTAATTCCTTTCATTAAACTAAATACCGCCGTAAATATCTATTTTACCTAAAATAGTAACCATGTGTTTTGTTTATGTGAAATGATGTAGAAAGACTAACCGCAACTGTACTCATATTCTTTTGACTTTTCCTCAATCAGGGAAAAGTTGTATTTGTTTTTTTCGATCCATGAAAGGCATTTTTCTATGTCACACCCGTTTTGTTGTGCAGCAGCTTGTGCCTCTTGTTGTCCAATTCCATGTCTCTTAATTAGCCTTCTGGCTATATGCTCTTTCATTGCCGGGGTAGCTTTGAAAAATGGTTTGACTGAAATCGAAAAACAATTAGAATTTAGGGAAGATTTTTATAATCACTGATGAAGCATTGGATTTTAAGCAATGATACATAATAAGCGTCTACATTTGGAGAAAATTCGCTAAGATTATTATATTCCTTCGATATATATCTTGATAAAATAGGGCTAGTCAACTTTTTCAGCATATAATTCAATCCTTGAGTCCATCAACGATATTAATTGTGTTCAATGCGACTGCCTCGATTCATGACAGAATAAATGCCTTACCGCTTACAATATGTGCAATATAATAGGTGCAATATAAATGCTCTATTAATCATATGGCAAACTAAAGGTCAGGTTATTCATTTTAGTTACGGAGAACCACCCTAGGATGGCAAGATTCAAATGCCTACAACAGGGGTGTGCAACCTTTATTACAGGAGGGCCAGATTCAAGTAATTGGGTGAAGCCGCAGGCCGCACTTTTATTTAAGATACAATTATAGTAGTACAACTAAACTGAAAACTCGTTTCGTGGGCACTTCATTCAAAACTGGCACTTCTCCGCGGACCACACAATATTTTCTTGCGGGCCGCATTTGGCCCGCGGGCCGCAGTTTGCACACCCCTGGTCCACAAGATTCAAATGTTCATTATAGGTGAGATAGCAAGCTGCAAGAATGAAGCATGTTTGTAACACTCAGCACAATGTGCCAACCTGAACAAACTGAATAGGATAGACTTGCAATACAGGAAGACAAACGTGAGAGTCACAAACCTGATTTTGAGGTTAACTGCAATTGTTCAAGATCTTTCCCAACTTCCGTATATGCTACCGAAGCTCGTGGTTTCTAAAAAGCCAAAAAAGGGGTTAAAAAAGTGCAACTTGAACCTATAGGCTACAATGCCATCATAGTTATGTCTAACAATCAAACAGTCCGAAAAACCCAGCCTTTGGGAAATGCTAGACAACCACCCATGTGACTAATAGACTGGATTATATATACTGAAGGAGGTAGGCTGGGGTAAACAAAACTGCAAATCAGAAACTAGCTAAGCCTGGAGTACTTTTCGACAATACTGGTCCCATAATAAATACTGTTCTACATTTTGGGCTTCGCTGATTACAGAATTAGATGTTTGTACTATTAGTAAATTGCTTGTGTGTATAGGAGAATTCCTGCATGCCAACCACATCCTGAGCTGGTATGGCAATAACTTACCGAAACACTGGCTATCTCATTTTCATGTAACTTTTTGAAAGTTCCTGAAATGATAAGTGAATATTATTTATCTGCTATTACCTAAATGAGCCATTTTTGATGGGTTGATTGGATGAAATAAGTGATTGATTGATTGAAAATGGATGCACATTTCACAAAAAAATAAGAAGGCTTGAACATAAGAGAAAACAGGGCCTTTCGACCGGTTTTCAGTTCATGTCGGACATGGCAATAGTTACGGTAGTCTTACGGTAGGCTTTTCATGCATGCATAGACATAACGGCAGAGAAGCTGTAACCAGCCAGTGTTTATGTCAACCACCCAACAATGGCGACAGGTTCAGCAATCCTCTCGCACATGAATTTGCCTCCACAACATTCAAACCTAAAAAGCCATGCAAGGTAATATGACATCTGACATGGCGTGTCATATAATATGCCGTTTAGCTAGATGGGATACAGGAGAGACAGAAGGCAAATACCTGATTTTGAGGTTGACTGCCATTCTTCGGATTCTTCATCAACTCTGTCATCCTCTATCAAAGCTCTTAGTTTCTGAAAAGTCACAAGAATTAATCTCAAAAAAGACCTATTTTTATTTTTGCAAATTCAGTATGCATGGGATCGTATATGTATACAAAATAAATGGACATTTTTATTTAAACGTATATTCATGTGCCTTACACCTATATCAAGAAGCCACTAGCTGAGTAAGAGGCTACTATAGTTTGGAAAGACCACAACATTTTCATTGAATTTATTACACCCTGAATGAGGGCATGGAATTAAACAAGGGATTTTAACTTGCAATGCCATCTTCAAGTCCAACAACAGAGTTTACAGACTTCTCGGGCCAAAGGATCTAATTTTAACTGCCTTGTAAGTTGTATAATAATCTTTACCTAAAGTAGCAACAAATACTGGTATATGGCACCAGTAGAGAGCAATACTTAGTAATAAAGAACTCTAACTATGCCCAAATGTCCTATGAATCCACATGTATCAGCAATTTCCTACTCTTAAAAAACTCTCAAAGCGAAAGAAAATTGAACTGGCTTATGCCACCTCGTGGTCCATGAAGTCTGTATACAACCAACAGTGCAGGACAGTAAAGTCAGTTACAGCATATGAAATTGCTCTTACCTGTTTTATTAAAGCTTCCGACAGGTCCATATCAGCGTCCTCGTCTATAAATAATTTGAGGGATCAATATTTAATGTTTGGTAACATACTAGATCAGGTGTGGACAAGGTTTTTGGACCGGGCCCAAAAATGTTGTCTCCCTAGAGCAGGAATGGCGAATCTTTTTCAATGGATGGGTCAAAAATTATATTTTTATCACGGAACAAAAGAGAGTGGGTCACATCACAGATATTCAATCAATGTTTGTACATAAAAGAAACTTCTGAAATCTTATAAGCTTCTGTTGGTGTAGTTTTGTGCTTTACTTATGCAGCACTTCTATCAGGGACTTTTTATGGTACTCGATTTTATGAAATTAGAGTACGAAAACATGCATATGAATTACCAAAAACGTTTAGTATGATGCGGGAAATTATTTTACGGTTCCAAAGAGTTTCCACTCTGATAAAGTTATATTTTTCGATCGGCTTTTAACCACATTATTAGGGCACTCTCACACTGCCTCATTATTAGTTCAGATCTCTAGATTTTTATTTCAAGTCTGAAAGATTTTGTTTTGTATTGTAAAAGAAAAACAAGGATGTCCAATACCGAATAATTCACTATTTCGAGTACATTCGAAATTATTATTTTCGAATATAAAATTTCAAATACTGCGAAAATGAATTCAAGTAAAATAAGCTTATATTGATGTATGTCAGAATTTGCATACAATACATAATGGAATAACCGTTACCTACAAGCTGGCTACCAAAAAATTTATATCCGCCGATTGCCGTGATATTTTATAGTAGTATGCCCTTTTTAAGTACAAGAGTGCAAATCAAAATTAATTATAATCAGACACTTTACCATACGTTTTATGTCCACAGATTGCCATGGTATTTTAAAGTTATTTTAATAAAAGATATTTTTTTTTTTCGTAGGACGACGCAACCTTGAGTTAGGGCTTAGGCTACGTTGAACACAATTAAATTAATACCGAAAGGATTTTAAAATTCTGTTATCAGTCTTGGATTTAAATATTATGCACAACAAAAAAAGTCCATACTTTTAACAATCATTATCAAAACTATTTGCCGAAGTGGGTAAAAGTATAAATTCTTTTTTTGTGAGTATGAAAATATGAATAAAAAATCAATTATAATCAGGCAGTTACCACACATTTTATGTCCGCAGATTGGTGCCATATCCTGAGTAGGTATGCATTAAGGTCGACAAAACTATGAGTTACCTTAAACACAAGTAAATTAATACGGTAGGGCATTTTGAAAGCTGTTATCGGGCATGGATTTGAACATTTTGTAGCAACAGAAAATCATCCTAGTTGAAAATCCATACTTTTAACTATCATTATCAAAAGTATTTTCCTGAAAACACATTTTACATCCACAGATTGCTGTGGTATTTTAGAGTTGTAATATTATTTGTTTTTCGTAAGTATAGAAATAGGAATAAAAAAGTAATTATAATTGGTAAGCTAACCACACAATTTATGTCCGCAGATTGCCGTGGTATTGAATAATACTTTTATTTTTTCGTTAGTTGACGCAGCCATGAGTTACGTTAATTGAACAAAATTAAATTAATACGGTAAGGCATTTTAAATGCTGTTATTGTTCATGAATTTGAATATTTCATCGTAACGGAAAATCACCATAGTAAAAGGTCAATACTATTTGACTATAATTATCAAATTTATTTGCCAAAAAGCAGGAAAAAGTGTAAATTATTTTTCTTAATAAATCAACTCGTTTTTTTCCGACCTGCGACAATTTATTGGGTGACATAATTCGTAACAAAGCGCACGATTTTATTTTAAATTGTATTCATGTGAGACCCGTGACTCAATACAAATGAATGCGTAAATTAGAAGCCTTGCACGGTAATAGCAATAGTGCCAATCTCACAACTGTGCAAATGTGTAAGCGACAATATGAGGCGCACGCTTGCACATAAGATAACAAACAATCTAAGTGCCGATACTACTTCGCCGTCATTGCATTACTTGGCAAAGCGCGGAAAATTGAAACACCTCGCTGACGGCGAAGGGTGGCTATTATTTGAAAATCAGCCAAAAAGGTATTCGATTTGTTGTGGGCAACCCTGACGAGAAAATAGGTAATAAAATGCAAAGTAACATCTAGTTCTCTTATAACCCCTAAAACAGTCTGCAGATGCACTTCCGAAATGGACAAGACATTGCGGAAATATACAGATCAATTGCATTACATGTCATAAACAATGTCAAAGCCAATAGCTGAATAACGAACGGTACACAGCAGTGAAGACATTGGCATGCGTCCAACATTAGGGGTTTTGAAAATAACCATACCGACCCGGAAATTAACAATTTTAATATGAGCGATCGCAGCCCTGACTGCCCAACTGACGATACATTATATTAGTTTAGTTATTGTTAGATTAAAATAAGGCTGGTTCCATCAATTTTTCTCACTGATATGTTAGTATTTTATTTGTGCCTTGGCGGATCATGAATAGAACGCGATGGATTACTTTGTTACCCACGGGTCAGTGGTTCGCCATCCCGCCCTAGAGGGCCATATAAGTATGACATAAAAAGTTACGTTTTATAAACAATTTTTACAGTGTTACAAAAGTGGAAGTAAAAAGCTAAAGCTGTTTTTAGCTAAAACATAAAAATTGATTTTAGTTTGGTTGTGGCAGCATCAGGCGAGCTAGATTAAATTACCCAGCAGGCCGTACAGCTCGTGTCAGTACTAGATCACGGATCTATCTAGTAAAAAAAATTCAAGTTCATTATTACAGTAATTTAGTATTATTTTCAATATAATTCCAAGTCTGACAACATTTTGTTAATGTTCAACCCCAAAATAACATCGATGGCCAGATCATCCATCACTTACCATTGTGATTGTAAAATTGTGAATGTACAACTCTATATTCTTAACAATACTGAATATTTCACTATTTCGAATACATCACTGCATTATGATTTTTTTTAATTACGAGATATCAAGTATATTTAAAAATAAAATAAAGCTTTTCTTGATGTCAGGAAGAATTTTTGAACAATATACAGATATAAGAAATAAATGTTATCCTATTTAGCTTCTGTTGAAAAATAACCATTATTCAGAATTATTCAAAATGAGCTGAAAAACATTTGAATACATCGAGTTATTTTGGACAACCTGAGTGAGATATTAATGCACTAATGTGTGTGAACCACAGACTTATATAGTTTTTATAGTTGATGGCAATGCGATACACGTAATAAATATAGAGTAAATCTCTAGGCCACATTCAGATATACGGTACCGGTATTGATGATAATCAGGTACAGAGGTACGGTACCATACACTAAACAAATTTGTTACCAACCTGATGAAGTAGCGACATCATGTTCCTTATATCCACCTGTTGCCATATTTGAACAATGCACGCTTTCAGCTCTAACTTTAAAAGCTTAGCGCAAACATAATTATGAAAGATACCCTAAAACTTTTTTTTACTTTTCTGTCAAATTTAAATAATGAAAATGTGTTAATCCCCATCAAAGTAAACTGAAATAAACATACAGACCGGTACCGGTACTGTAACAGGAAAGCTTTATCATATATCCTATCAGTCGTATAGTAAGTTCAGGTTATACACGGTACCGGTACGGTAGGGGTACGTATTGCAAGCAGTATGGCACGGTAGCCAGTAACAACAGCCCAACCATAATCAATTAGACAAATTGAGGAACAATCTCAAGTAAACGATGACGTCACCTACATGTTGACCACTAGATGTCAGCCTGTAATGGGTATCGGGCTAGGGTTGGGACCCCGGGAAATCCCGGGATTCGGACTGTTTTTTTCAGTCCCGATCCCGCAATCATTTCCTAAAAATCCCGGGATTTTAAAGCTTTGTTATCCACATAGGTTATACCGTTTATTGTGATACTTATTTTGAAAAAATCCGTCCACGCTTACACTTTGAGTTAGTCAGTTAGACTACGTCGCGGTCTGAAATTACAATCGGAACAATCCTCAGTATGAAGTTACGTTTGGAACAGACAACAGTCTGACGTATTAATCAGTACAGAATGCAGACAAGATACAACAAGTTTGCAGTGTGGAGGTAAAGTCTGGAGTTACAGTCGAAGCAAAAACGGTCGCAATCAGAGTTGATTGGAAAACTGAAAAAAAAAGTCAAACTTTGAAGAAGTCAGTGCTAAAAGAAAGTCAGAAATCTGGAGAAACTTTTTATTTTGCAAAGATACAGAAAAAGCGAAGTGTAAATTGTGCCAAACAATTTTAAAAGCGTCTGGTACGAAGGGACTTATAGTTCATTTGGAGTCAAAGCACGAGATTGAAGTGAAGTCTCGCACGAGCATGGAGGATCAGCCAAATCCCAAGATCAGAAAAATTGAGTCGTTCTTCAAGTCAAAAAAAGTCAACATTGAGGTGCTAGTTAGTCAGTTAACTGCAGTGGATGGTTTTACATTTAATCAAATTGCCAAAAGTGAGAGGCTACATCAAGCGTTCAAAACTGATGGTTATACGCTGCCCAAATCACACAAACATGTTCGTAGTCTGGTGATGGAAAACTTTGAAACCGTCAAGAAATTAGTCAAGGAAGAGTTTTGTGCAACCAAACTGAATAATGGTCGTTTTTCCATAACATTTTATGAGACAACATCCGCAAGAAATCGTCGTTACATGAACATTAATTGTCATTGTCAAGGTGGCTTTCATTCGCTGGGATTGATTCGCATCCACGGCAGCATGGACACACAAAAAGCAATCGACTTAGTCGGTAATCGACTAAACTCCTTTGGTCTCGACCTAAATACAGATATTGTTTCCACAATCACTGATGGTGCTAGTTTGATGGTAAAATTTGGAAAAGAAACGAGTCCACTCCATGTGATCTTCTTTGCTCACGCGATTCATTTGGCCGTTTGTGACGTGTTATACAAAAGGCAACCGGTCGCAGTATGCTCTGATGAACTTGACTGCAGGGTTGTCCAAAACGAATCGAATATTCGAAATTATTCGAATATCAAAGTATTCGAATACCTTTTCGGCTCATTTCCGAATAATTACGAATAGTAGTCACTTTTCGCCGTAAACATGGTGTTTCGTTTTACCGGAATCTTCAAACGACTTTGTACGCTTTCTCACGTATTGTAATGACGATGAAATAGAATCGGCATTTTGATTGTTTATATTCAGCGCGAATGTACGTCGCTTAGTGTTGCGACACATTTGCACGTTTGCGTTGGTGGACATTGCCGACATTCGTCTTTTAATTCACAAAATCATTTCCATTAGTCGAAAAATCGACAATCACCGTAATAATAAGTCCGGCTAAGTTCCCGGCTAATAAGTCGCTTTTCTAGACCCAATTTTGGCTTGATTTTTTTGGGGGAGGGGCGCCTTATTGAGAAAGTATGTTTATTTTATTTCTACGTGGCCTGCTTATTTTTCGCATTAGTCTTCTCAAGCATAATTTGTGTTAACCTTATATTTGGTTCTTATGGGTCTGCCAATCATGATATTTAATCGTAGGCCGGTTATCGTTACTTAAAAGAGAAATCACGGCCACCGAGATAAAGTAAGTGATTTATGACCCTTTGGTTTTGCCGATTCAGCAGAAAACGACAGGGACATGAAACACAGCTGTGAAATAACCCGTGGACGTACCGTGTGGTACTTATCACATTCCAAAATTATTTCAACATTCGGGTTGATAGGTTGTCCAAAATGATTGCCGCTTTATAGTTTAAATTTACCGCTTCATTGTTGAGAATAGTTAATTCCGTGAGTATGGTTCTACCAAACAAACACGATCTGGTTCTGACCCTATAAAATTATATATTGTTCTAAATGATTGTGATTTTTAACTTAAAATTACCGCTTTATTGTTAAAAATAGTTAATTCTGTGAGTATGATTCTACTAAACAAACGTGATCTGGTTCTAAATATTATTATTAGCGCATATTAGCATAACTGAACAACAGGGAACAATTTATCTCCCTGTCTTCTTGGAGGCCTATATGGAAAACCCCCTTTTTTGAGTGCTAAAAATATACATCGTCCTATTTGCCATGTAGACTTATTAGCCGGAAAATACGGTATTCATAGCCGTAATTGATACGATATCTAATAAATTGTCACAAGTTGAGAAACAAGTTGATTTATTAGAAAAATACTTTCACCCGCTTTCTGGCAAATAATTTTGATAATGATGGTCAAAAGTATCGATAATGAAAGTATTAATACCAAATACCACGGGTATTTGTGGGCATGAAATGTGTGGTAAACTGCCCAATTATAATTAATTTCGGATTCGTATTTACAAAATATTAAAACTATTATAACTCAAAAATACAACGGCGATTTGTGGACTTGAATGTGTAATAAAGTATAAATTATTTTTCCGACTTGTGACAATTTTTTCGTGAGTACGAAAATAAGAATCAAAAATTAATTATATTTGGGCACAATATCACGGCATTCTGGGGACATAAATTGTGAGGCAAACTCGCGATTGATATTAATTTTTGATTCTTATTTTCGTATTTACAAAATACAACGGTGATCTGTGGACATTGAATGTGTGGTAAACTACCCGATTATAAATAGTTTTTGAACCCTATTTTCGTATTTATAAAATAATAAAAGTATTATTACACAAACATACAACGGCGATCTGCGGACTTAAAATGTGTGGTAAAGTTCCCGAATATAATTACTTTTTGATTCGTATTTTTGTACTCACGAAAAAATTGTCACAAGTCTGAAAAAGAACTCATACTTTATCCCGCTTTTTGACAAATAATTTGGATAATGGTTTGTATTTAAAAGTATGGGCGTTTTACTAGGATGATTTTGTGTTGCGCAAATATTCAAATCCATCACCGATACCACTATTTAAAATGCCTTGTCGTATTATTTCAATTCTGTTAATTAACACAACTCATGTTATATAAAATATATATCGCAATTATCTGCAAACATGAAATGCCTGGTAATATAGCCAGGTTGTAGATAGAAGTTATTCCATTGTTTATTGTATGAAAATTCCTTCATACACTTAGATTCTATTACTGGATTTTATTTTCGAAGTATTCGAAATTTCATATTCGAAAATAATAATTTCGAATGTATTCGAAATAGTGAACTATTCGGTATTGGCCATCCCTGCTTGACTGTCACAGTGACAGTTCAGACGAAGATGTCAACGACTCAGAACAACGCGAGGATTTCGGATTTTCTCCAACTTTATCTCCCAACCTTGACACATTGATCAAGAAAATCAGAAACATCGTGAAAATATTCAGAAGGTCGCCTGTGAAAAATGATGATGCTCTTCAACCATTTGTCTTGGGAGTCTTTTGGAAAGGAAATGACACTACTGCTCGACTGCAAAACCCGATGGAACAGTTTGCTCTCAATGCTAGAGAGATTCTATCAGCTACGAAAAGAGATAAAATTGGCTCTAGTTCGACTGGATATTGATTTTGACTTATCTGAAAATGACATGACAATTATCAAGGGACTGTGTGATGCTCTTGCTCCCATAAAAGTTGCGGTAGAAACACTCTCCAGTGAAGATGCAGACATTCTTTTAGCAGAAAAAGTAATTGCGTTTACTTTAAAGAAGCTTGGTGATCAGAAAACTGGAATCAGCCAGGCATTAAAAGACCGGTTCAAAGCACGAATTCAAGAATGGCGGAATGCTGAGTTGGTCCATCTATTGAAATATTTAAAAAGTCCGTCTTATCTTGATCAAGTTCAGGATCAATTTGGGCACAGAGTAAAGCGGCCCAGAATTGCTGCTCTGGCCATGGACATCTTGCAGAGATTATTTCCGCAAGAGGCTTACAATGCGGGCTACATTGTGCACATTGATGTTGACAGTGAAATTCTTGACGAAGAAAAGAAAATGACTTTAGCAGAGGAATTCCACAGTTTTGTGGAAGATGGTGAAGTAGAAGACAGTCGACCTGGCAACCTGAGCTCTCATGTAATTCAAAAAGAGATGGTACTGTGTGCAACAAGAAAAAAGAGACCTGAAAACCTTGAAAAGTTGTACGCTGCCCTAAAAACATTTAAACCCACGTCCGTCGAGGCAGAAAGACCGTTTTCTGCTCTTGGATTTTTCGCAAGCAAAATAAGAAGTCGTATGAACGATAACACCCTAGTTAGATGCTTTAATATTTCTGCGTCGATATTACATGAAATAAATATGTGATTTTATTGTGATGCAACTTGTTTCAATCTTTTACTCAATCCCGAAAAAATCCCGGGATTTTACGGCTCAATCCCGAGGTATCCCGATACCGTGATTTCAAAAACTAGTCTCGAAATCCCAACCCTATAATCGGGCGTTCCTGCCATATACACCACAATGGTTCCTCCAGACCTGACATGCAGTGGCGTAGCCAGGGGGGGATGGTTTTGCGGGTCAAACCCCCCTCCCCCTTTCAAAATGTAAAAAAAATGAAATCAAT